CCCCAACCCCCTGATCGGCCCTGCTCTGTGCGTGACAGGGTACGGAGCCCCAACCCCCCTGATGGGCCCTGCTCTGTGAGTGACAGGGGGCAGCGCCCCAACCCCCTGATTGGCCCTGCTCTGTGCGTGACAGGGGGTGGCGCCATAACCTCGCCATCGACCCTGCCTTGAGTGTGACAGGGGGCGGTGCCCCAACCCCCCAATCGGCCCTACCCTAAGCATGACTGAGGGTGGCATCGCAACCTCCCGATCCGCCCTGCTCTGTGCATGACGGGGCGGCGCCCCAACTCCCCAATCAGCCCTGCTCTGAGCCTGACCATGGGCTGCACCTAGGGATTGGGCGTGCCCTCTGCCACCCGGGAGCAGGCCTAAGCCAGCAGGTCGTTATCTCCCGAGGGGTCCCAGACTGCGAGAGGGTACAGGACGGGCTGAGGGACCCCCCCGTCCCCCCCAGCGCACAAATTTTTGTGCACTGGGCCTCTAGTTAAAAGTATAAATGAATGTACTTCAGAAATTATCTTAAAAGGCAGCACATAATACTTATTAATATTAAATGTTATCCCTCATGGTTAATTGTCAAGTTGTTAACATGTCAACATTAGAGGGCATCAAATAACACACTGACTTCCTAAATCCAATGAACTGACCTAATCTTTGGTTTTAATGCACCTGAACCTTTGGAAGAGAAAACAGGTAAAAAACATAGATAGTAAAATAAACTTGACAAATGGGTAAATAAAAATTGTTATTAGACCATACAGTGTTATATCTTAATTTTTGAAGAATTTAAACATAAAATTCTATTCAAAGATCTATATATACCAAAATCTTAGTCTGTAACCAGAATACATGTTAGATGCAACAATATTTAATTGGTGTCTACAATTATATATTTTTCACAATATACCATGGTACATTACGTAGAATTTCCAGAGGAGATTCAAGAACACCTTATAAATATAAAATGTATCCTAACCTATTGATAAATACTGCTAAGTCTGTGATACTATTCCCATTTTACTTCTTAAGCAACACTTTGTTTTTTTTGCAGACAGTGAAAGCCCAATCAAGAAATGGTAAATGAGTTACAGAAGCCACTATGAAGTGTGAAGGTTCCTCAAAATATTAAAAATAGAACTACCATACAACCCAGAAACCCCACTTCTGGGTATTTATCTGAAGAAAAAGAAAAAACTTAGGAGAGAAGATATATGTACCCCCATGTATATTGCAGCACAGCTTCATGGTAGAATACACATTAGGCAGAGTGCTTTTTGGTAGAATGCGAGGATGATTATGATAGGTTTAAAGTAACTTATTGAAGGCTTTGTTTTTTGTCTTTGTTTCATAAATTCTTTATTGTGCCAGTATATAGAAAAAGATGCATTTCCGAAATCATTGGTTAAAAATCAAAATTCAAACAAAGATTGCTTTGGTTTGATTTTGTGTTTTCTTTTCTTTCTTATTTTTTTAATATATTTTTATTGTTGACTAGAGGCCCGGTGAACGGGATTTGTGCACTGGTGGGGGTGAATGGCCTGCAGGGATCGGCCGCTGTGGGAGCTCCGCTCATCCCAGTCAGCGAGCAACTGTGGACCCGCATCATCTGAGCAGCTGCTTCCTGTTCCGGCATCTTCCGTGGAGCACTCGTTTCTCCAGGGAATCTGATCGGGGCGGTCCCAGGGTCAATAGCACTGAGAGGCGGCGGAGTAGGCCTCAGTCCCACGGTGGCCATGAACCCGCCTCCCAGCCTCTGGGGTCAGCTCTGTGAGCCCAGTGGAGATAGTGCACAGCCTGCAGGTGTCCGGAGGCGGGGCAAGGAGGCAACAATCGCAGCCCAGGTTCCTGCCCTTCGGCCGGGGGTTCACAGCGGGATCAGCAACTCATCCCAGTCAGCAGAGCAGCAGCTCCCACTATGGTAGCACACTGACCACCAGGGGGCAGCTCCTGCATTGAATGTCTGCCCCCTGGTGATCAGTGTGCGTCATAGCGACTGGTCCACCGATCATTCTGGTCATTCTGCTGTTCAGTTAATGGGGTTTTATTATATAGGATAGTATTAGAGATATCTTGCATCCTCCACTCCCCACCTTAACCCATCTCCTTCCAGCCCCTACCCACTCTTCCACACCTTCCCTACCATA